GTCCAACACAAAGGACCCAGAAATCAGACATCTGAACAAGCTGAATGTGTTAAAGCAGTGATGCTTTAAGCAAGGGATGCTATGGGAACAGGAGGGTCTGAACCAATCTTTGCCAACATTAGATGTAGTCCTGGTTTTAGTAAAGTACATCAGGCAGGAAAACAAGTGTTCCTTGCTCCTTTGTTTCCCTGTTTTCATCTGCTTCTCGTTTCCTAGGAGAGCTGCATCTTCTGCTCCAGTGTCTACTTGGACTGCATTCTCCCTCCATCTCATCTTCTACCCCATCCCTCCCCTTCCTTTTCCCCTGGCTGCCACTTCTGTTCCCTTCCCATAGTGGTTTCAGGGCTCCTGCTGTCACTTGAGGGCCCCCTAAATGCCACACAGATGGGTATTTACACTGCTCTTGAATAAATGTTGGTTTTTTTCAGTTTCCCCCACAGGGACGAGAGTGAAGGCAGGAAGCAGCAGTGAGAGCATTAGAGCACTCACATGGTGCACCCCAAAATCCCAATCTAGAATAGGCTATTATTTTTATATCAAATAAAGCTTGTTAGGTCAACATTGCTTTTAATGATAGAATGAAAACTAAGTTAAGAATCTGGTGGATTCCCATTTTTTTTTCCTTGTTTTCCCTACTCCTGTTTTACTGGCAGTCTCCACCCATCCTCATTGCTTCTACTCATGTATTTAACTCAGTGGCAAAGAGCTATGAAATCTCCATCAGCTGAAAAAATCACAGATAAGAGTGTTCAGCAGCCAAGTTCCAATCACCATCTGAATATTATCTAATTTCACATTGAAAGTATGAATATTTCAGGTTTAGCAGATTATAAATGTCCTGAACTAGTTTTCAGGAAGTTCCAAAGGAAGCAATACATATGATCTGTACTGGAAAAGTTTAAAGTGAAGAACAAGGGGGAAAAAAAAAACCAAAAAGAAAAAACAGCCTTGTTTTTTCTATTGCCTCAAAGTGGATCAATGAGACAGCAATTCCTAGAAAAATGAAAACATGTATAGTATATCTTAGAGTGGGAGAGATTATAAACTGCTATAGGTGCTAAAGAGCTGCAAAAGAAAAAAAAATATCTGGGTTATATCCTTAAAAATATCTCCTACATTCTTTTCCTGGAGAGTAAAGTAATTTTCTTAGGTGTGTATGATTCTGACTACTAATCAGAAAATGACTGAACTCTAGACAACAGCCTAATTTTTGTTCTGCTTCATTTTGTTCTCCTTTCCTGTCCAAGGTAACAGAGAACATAACTGGTGTCATTAGAATCTGTGTTTTTACAAAATATGTAAAAACATAATTTGTAAAATTATGTTTTTGTAAAATTAATGTATTTCTGCTCTTATGAGAGAGAATTTAAACCAGCACTTTCAAATGTGCATGGGCCAAGCACAAATGCTACAATTTACAGGACAAATACTGTCTTTTCAGTGCATGAAAAGGGTAAGCAGTTTTTGAAATTTGGATACATTTTAAGTGTACTTCAGACATCCTAAGCTGAAGGTGTATCAAATTTTCCCACCACTTTAAAAAAATCATATCAATTATCACACCAATATGCAAATCTTGTCATTGTTTTGATTAAGACAATGGAAGGCTGGAGTTTTTTGAGATACTGTCTTCTCTTGAGAGTATATAATAAAGGAGACCAAGATTCAGTTTCATCTAATATTTTTTTTTGAATATTCACAATTTGGAGCATTTCATGAAGATCTTATAAAGTTTTGCTGATCTGTCATGGATTTTTTGGGTTATTTGCTTGTTTGGGATTTTTGGGGTTTTTGTTGTTTGTTCTTTGGTGTTTTCTCGATTGGTTGGTTTGGTTTTTGGTTTGTTTTGGGTTTTGGTTTTTTGAGAAGAGATGAAGTGTCCAAATGCTCACAATGAGACAGCTGCTCTCAGGTAATCATATATACATACATATATACATATATATTTTCTTTCTGACTGCTCAAAACATTGTTCTCTGAAAGTGCAGGTGTTGATTAGATCAGACAAATGTTCTGGTGGTGGGCAACCTAGGTGGAGAGTCTTGGGTCTTTTATCAGCTGGATTTGTTTTCTCACCCAAAGTCAAATTAATTTTAAAAATTCTGAGGAGGATCAAACCCCAGTGCCTAACCAGGAGTTTGGTGGGAGGTGGCAGGTTTACATTTACAAGTTTGCATTGCCTGCTGCCATACCAGATAAACTGGCTGTGCTGCATTGCAGGAGTTAACCAGGCAGTGGCCCACAGATTTGACAGCAGAAACCTGCCTTTCACATCTAGGTTGTAATTTGATTTTGACCTATATTGATCATAAAAGCTAGTCTCTGTAAAAGGTGTTGATGATATCAATTATCAGTAGATAGGATTTCATATCACCAAGAAATAGCTACAGTTATTAACTATTTATCTTTCATCATGATCAAGCAGAGAGGCCAAGTAGCCACCATGTGAAGGAGTAGAAAATTCCATTTGTCACTAGGCGTGGATTCCCCCAATCCAAAGGAAAGCATAGTATGAGTAGTAGATTTTTGTCTCCTTTCTACACAACAATCTATTAAAGTAGTTCTTAGGTGTGTTTTTTTTTTTTTTTTTATCTCATGTATTTCTGGAGGCAGTTCTGCTGTGTTTCCAGCATTGGACATGACTGCTCAGTATCAGAACTGCAGCTCTTCAGTGAAACATCAAATGTGATAAGAAAGTCTAGCAGAATTCAAAGTGAATGCAAATCTACTGGAAATAATCAGAACCTCAGAAGAGAGACCCAACACCACTAAAAGCAATGGGAAAGGTATTACAAGTTACAGAGTGATAGTAGTCTACTAATTCCACTGCTGGAGTTATGCCCTGGACAGAAATTGCTTGGGGAATAAAAAAAGGCTTTGACTACATTCTGTAGGGGGATAGAATATAAGAAAATAAAGATAGTGTAGAAAGTAATCTTACCCCTAAGGAGTTGCAGCTGGGCCAATTATCAAAGATTAGGAGCAGGCCACAGCTGTAAGCAATGAGAAGAAGAGTGCTATAAAAGAGTGGGGTGGCTGGGGGAGAAGGGAACTGGAGTCAGATAGCTGCTTTATGAATAAGAAAGAGGCAGAGCCCTGAGGAGATGCCCATGAGAAACACTGAGAAGGTATGAAACTTTTGTGGTAGGAGACAACAGTATAGAACCCCTGCAATAAGATGACAGCGTTCTGTATATTGAGATTAATTATCTCTTGGTAAAAGCTTCATGGAAATGAATGGCCTTACTCTGTTAGTTAACCTCTATTACTCTTTTGGCTTTTCCACAACAGGCTATATGCTGGGAGAGCATCTCCCATTACCTCTGCTGCCTTTTCCTTCAGAGATCAGAGAGATTTGTCCCAGTGCTCAGTCCTCAGCATGGGTGCTATTTTCTGGAGTTTGTGAGCAGTTTTTCACTACCATTACACATTCCCACTGTGTAGCAAGAATTGCTGATAATTATCCTCTTCATTAATGTGGCTATTAGAGAGAAACTTCTAAACTTGGCCAACTGCTTAGTCTGTACATTTGATTTTTACATACTTGTGTAGCCTTTCTGTTGACTGCACTGTAGGGCTCCAGCCATAGCAAACCCCAGGCTCCTCTCTTCGCAAGCATAGCCTGTAAAAAAATCAATTTAAATCCATTGAAATATTAAATTGAAGTTGCATTTATTTACCAGTTGCAACACTGCCAGTATTGAACTGCATTTGAAATGCTTTTCCACAGCCATGGCCCGCAGTGTGAAAGGTGAAATACAAACCTCAGTTCTCTCACCAGCAATACACGCTCAGAGCTTGTGTGGTTACGTGTTCACAACTGAAGTGAAACAAAGATAAGGATCCTGCACTTGCAGCTTTCAACCGGGTGTATTTTAGCTGGATACCATTAAATACATCGGGCTGTGTTAGAACAGCCTTTCTCTCAAGTCCTGCTGCTGTTCTGGTCCATCAGCATTTCTTTGGAACACACTCAAATACAGCTGCCATTTTTTAAATTTATAATTAAGACCTTTTCAGCAGGAAAGCAGCTTAAACCACCTGATTTAGCAGGTGTTTTATGCGTGTGAGCAGTATTTCCATGGGTGTGGCAGACAGGGATTAGGCACAGCTCGAGGCTGTACTTGAGATGGGAGCGCTCGGCCCGTGTGGGGAGCGATGGCGCCGGGCAGGAGCGGGGAGCGCTCTGGGGGCAGCAGCGGTGTCCCTGAGAAGGGATCCCGGTGTCGGAGCCAGGCATCGGAGCAGGTCCGGAGCCAGAGCCCTTCCCTGGCGCGGAGCGGCTGTGTGAGCACAGCACAGCGGGGGCAGCCAGGGCCTGAGGAGCGGTCAGTGGGAACCCACGCTGTGCTATCGATCCCAGGATCCATTATCGCAGTTATCAGCGGGGTCACAGCCCGCAGGTGACCATGGCAGTGTGTTCAGCGTGCCTGTGGCTGCCGCACGCTGCGTGGCGGGGAGGATTCACCCCAGAGCCGCAGCGCCGAGGGATGCCCGGCATCCCCTTCGGTCTCCTTTGGATTCCGCCGGTACCCCGGGTTTCCCCGCTGCCGGGAAGGACCCGGACAGCCCCCGGCAGCGATGTTTAACCCGCTCCGCAGCCGGCTGTGCTGTGCGGGCCTCCTCCTGCCCCGGCATTCCCGGTTCCCGCTGCCGGGGGCGGCGCTGCCATTGCGCTCTCATGCCGCCAGGGGGCGCTGCGGCGGCGACGGCCGGGGAGGGGGCGGGGCCAAGCCCACGTCCGAGTTCCCAGGGCGACGGGGCGGTCGCGCCGTGACGTCACGGTGCTTCCCGGTGACGTCAGGCGGGCCCATGCGCCGTGGCCGCGGCGATTCTGTGTGACGTCAGGAGGCCGGCCGTGACGCGCCGGCGGCGCTGGGAGCGGGCCGGGACCGCGCTCGCCGCCCGCCCCTCGCACTACGGGTCGCGGCTGGGGCCGCCCCGGTGGCGGGGACGCGGCCGCCCCCGGCCCCGCCCTCGCCCCGCCGCTCTGGCCCAAGATGGCGGCGCTGAGCAGCGGCGGCAGCGCCGAGGGGGCCTCGCTCTTCAACGGGGACATGGAGCCCGAGCCGGCCGCGCTCGGCGCCGGCTACGCGGGGGCCGGCAGCGGGGACCCGGCCATCCCGGAGGAGGTGAGGCCACGCGGCGGCCGCCCGCCCCCGGGGCTCGGGCCCGGCCGTGCCGGGGGCGGCCCGTGCCGGCGGGGGCAGGGAGCGGGGGCCGCGGCGCGGAGGGCGCGGGGCCCGGCGGGGCTGAGGGCGAGCCCCGCTCGGAGCCGCCGCGTCCCGCCAAGGCGCCGTGCGGGGTTTGGCCATCGCTTCCCCCCGATGGCTTTGAAGCACTCGAAATGCGTTTTAAAGCCGAGGCTGGGTTCGGTTCGCTCTGCGGACGTGCCTTTTGTGGAGGTTTTTTGCACAAAGCGTCTTAGGAAATGTTAACGGACAGGGCACCGTGCAGGCAGCGAGGATGTCAGGCCTCTGCTCGGTGTCTCTCTTACATACTTCCTGTGTTTTTGGGGCTTATTACTTAACTTCCCAATCCCACGGGGAGCGAGCGGCACTACCTGTTTTGCTGGGGCTGAAGTGCGAGTTGCGAACGCTTCCGAAATGTTTTCGAAAAGGGGAATAAACTGTGCGGCAACAACACAAGGCGCTTCGCAGATTCGAGCGCTGTAGGCATCCAAGGCAGACCCACCTGCCAGATGCCATGCCTCGAGTCTGTTCTGGAGGTAAATACAGATGCCACAAGCTCTGCTGTTTTGTTCTCAGCCTCACCGGCTGGAGAGTGTTTCGGCTCAGCTTTCGCTGGAGTGTCTGTGCAGTCGGTGGGGAACCTCTCAGCCTTGGGGCCCTGCGAGGAGCCCAGCCCACCTGGGAGCCTCTTCTTTCCAGCCTCCAGCTGGGAAAATGAGCTCGATTGGACCAGCTGCTCTCTGAGGGGTCCAGTTTGATTCCCAAATCCCCAAAGATTGGGAGGGGGGTTTATTTATCCATTTTGTTTATTAATAGCGTACTGGATTATAGTGGAATTAGTGGGTTGGGAAGTTTGAGAAGTGCTAGAGCTCATGCTGGGTGGATGGCCAGAAAGGAGAAGTAGGGAAAGAGTCTGTCCCTATAGATGTTTGCAAGATGTGAGGCTGATTCTCTCATCTTAAGGAGTCCCTGACTGACTTGCTTGCTGAAGGTAGGCAGAATTCAGCAGTACACATCTATTTTACACCTACCCAGCATGGTGATTACACACCTTGAGTAATGCCAGTCCAGTCTGAACTTTTCCTGAGTAAGGAGAAACTCTCAGCTGGTTGGCAAACCCAAGCACCTAAAGAGTGGGCTTCAACAAATGCACGCTTTTAGCAGCAAAGTGAGGCTGAAACGCTTCTGAATTTCTCAGTTATTTCTGTCATTTAAAAAAAATATGGAATTAATCCAATAACTGGTTTATATTGTGGCCCTTGAAATAATAACACAATACAGCTGAGCTGCTTAAACTGAAGTATAGGAGAGGAGAGAGGGAAAAGCAGTGGCAGGAGGCAAGAATATTTTTTGAAAAACAATTTTCACGCTGAAGGGATGGTTTGTGAAACTGCTCTAAGTCACTTGAACTTCAAAAATGTTTGAGACTGTGTCAGTCATTAGATTTGATTCCAAAGGGTAAATTACATAGTGTGGCTGCTCCTGCTTCCATCCTGGATGAGGCAGAGATGAGTGGTCCAGCATGAGGAGCACCTGCTGAGCAGAAGGGTTGATGGCTTGTCAGATGTAAGCATTTAGGAAGTGTGTGGGGGACAGTCTTGTATTATTTAAAAGCAAACTTCTTCTGCATTGGAAATACTGAAACACATGGGTCTCAAGGCAGACCTGGTCATAGAGTTTTTATTTTCTGATGTGGTTTTGTTCTGCAGTTAACAAGCTCTTCCTCGAGTTGTAGGTAATTACATTTTGTTTACTGTATAAGTGCACCTATTACTTCACCTAAACCTGTACCTTAATGAAGTTCAAGCCCAAAAAATTGCTGACACAGTTAAAATGGAAATTATCCTTCATACTAAAACAAGCCAACCTCAAGTGTAAGGCAAGTTCCAAGTGTAAGGCAAGTTCCAAGTGCCATAAGTCAGAGAAATACTGAAGTGCTCGTAACTGACTCATGGCTGTAATGTAAGTACATGTTCTGGTGTTTTGTTTCATTGTTTCAAGACAAGGTAAACCCGGGCTTTAGAGGTAACCTTGCTGTGGAAGCCTGTCAGGGAGCATGACCTTACTTCCTTAAGGCAATACCTGAAAAGGCTTCAGCTCCTACAGTCTTTAGGGAATTGCAGTCCTGATTTCCAGAAGGCAGACCTTCAGTCCTGCACTCAGTTTCTGCTGTTGGAAGGGGAGCAGACAAGAATTCCTGACAGATGTTGAAGTATCTTGCACACCTTACTTGTGTGTTGGAGCCCTCTGGTAAACGAGATGTTCTGTATTGAGCTTGTAATCGAGTGCCCTGTGTGGGTTACAGCTACTTCACTGTCCCTTATGAATTCTCAGGGGCTGGGACTTTGAAAAACAAATTTAAGCCCTATTGTTCAACTCAGTTCTTAATCAAATAGTGAGTTTTTATCTTTAAAAGTTGCTTGGGTAGCCTAAGTGCTGTTACTAAAAATCTTCTGAGTATTGCTAAGTCTTTTTTCCACTATATTAAAATTTAGAGTTTTTTAGGGTGGTTGTCCATGCAGTCATAAAAAAGATACAGGGAAGGGCTACTTCTTGGAGACAGAAGGATTTGGGAACAGTAGGGGCAAGTGCCTTTAGAAGAAATTTGTTCCTCTTCCACTCCCAGTTTGGTTGCTGGGGCTGGGAGGCCTCGGATGAGAGCTGGAATCTGCAGGCACAGAGGTTGGCTTTTCCCCAGCATGAGTTCTCAGGACAAGAGATTGTTTGGATGGAAGGTTTTCAGAGCATTACAGGGTTGTTGATATAGTAAGGAGTGTGTGACAGCTGGGAGGAAAGGTTCTGCTCTTGTTGCTAGAGATTATTTACACCAATATTAAATAATTCAAATGGGATTTTCTGTACTCGGAGCTTTGTACCCTAAACTGCTCTTTGTAAGACAAAAATTACTCTGAAGGCTGTGAAGTGAGGGGCTGAGCTGCTGCATGGTTGTTTTCTAGGCAGCAATACTGGAGTTTATCCTGCACGAATATTAGTTATAAATTTAGAAACCTTAATCCTATGAAACAGATTTAAGAGTAAAATGGAGAATGGATGAAAAGATATATAAAATGAAGATGGAATGGAAAGGCACCTCTAACCTCACAATATGAAGTAAGTGATGGGTTCTCCTAATGTAATGTAGGTACATGAAGTAAAAGTGGGGTTGATTTTGTTGCAGTAACATTTAGGGAGCCTATGGTGCTGGGTATTAGAGGATCTATTTCTCTAAAGAGTTTAATAGTAAACCTGATACTTATTTGGAAGCTTGAAACCATATGAGTGGTTTTTTACTTCATTGCTTTTGTAGTTTTGGGAATACATTTTATGTTCAATGTCAATTACGTTTCTGTGCATTAGTATTCAGTGAGTGAAGTAACTTCATAGTCAGTGAATGACATCCTATTTAATTGTGAGGACAAGTTAAAGTGGAGCTGGATGTGAAGCATCTTGTAGCTAATATTCTTTATTAGCTTTTATTAGCTATTCTTTATTCAGAAGAAAAGTTAAATAGTTGTTTCTTTTACATAGCATGGGAAAGGCCATGGTTAATACTGTCTGATTTTGGGTCACAGCTTTGAGATATGCATGGTCTGGCTGAGTGATATAAAGTCTGGAAGGTCAGAGCTTTGAACAAAGACTCAGTCAAATCTGAAGTTGTTGAAAAAAGACATGGAAATTGTCAAATCTGGTGCAAAGAAGAATGCAACTAACTCATTTGCCTGGCTTGTGATGGTTACTGCCAGAAGTAGTGAGTTTATGTGGTAGCAGAGGAGATGGTTCCATGTTACCATGAGGTGTTGTTCTTTATGGCTAGGAATAGTGAAGCATGAAAATAGACATTCTGAACTTATAAATAAGCTCATTAATGGACTGTTCATTAATAGACTGTCACCTCAACAGGCAAACACACATCAGGAGTGATGGGGGAAAGTTGTTCCAGGTGTAAAAAAGACAATTATTTTGGTAACCTCTCATCTTTTTTTTCTTTAGGGTTTTTATGATTTATTTCTGGCAAGGTGGATTGAACACTAGAACACAACTTTGAAATACTTAGGTTTACTGAGGATAGTAGAGATTTCTACTTGAGGTGTTTTTCCCAGAAGGGAATAGGATTAACAGCTCTGTCCTGTGGTAGCTTGTTTGATTACACAGCACTTGCTTAATAGTGTGGTGGCTCCTTCTGGAAAGTTGTGATGTCTTGGGAAGCTTGTTTCTTATCTCTGTGGATATCCACAAACTGGTTGGGAACAAAATGTTAAGTACTGATTTTTTTTTTTTCCTGACTTGCAGTCTTGCTTCTTAATTCCCATTTATATTTTGTTGTAGTTGTTAAAACTCAAAGACCTCTTATTTTTAAAGCTGTTCTAATAATACCCTTCGTGACACTTTTTTAGCTACGAGTGGCAACTCTTTTGTTGCATGAAGTTAAAAATACTGTAGACCAAATGCATTTTGGGTTTTGGCTCTGTTTTTTGTTTGGCTGTTGGTTTTTTTTTTTAATGCAGCTATCTTTTGATGGCATCTTTTAACATAAACTGATCTTTTAACATAAACTGATAACCTCCAAGTTTTCTTAAGGCTTTAATATTCCACTTTGTAACAAATCTGTAGTTCACTTTAATTAATTGTTATAGCTGTCAAAAAATTTGAATGCATGGAATATTTTGAAGGGAATTTGATTTAGAAAGAAATGTAGTTTTATTTGTACTTAAAAGAGAAACAAAAGGTTTTGATTGGTTATGGAATTACTAATTCTCTTCCAGTCTAGCCTCCCAAGGAAGGTGTTTCAGGTTTAATGGAGGGGGGTTTCTGAAACACAGTTTTGGCCAAGTGCAAGTTTTATTTTCAGTTTGAAGCTGGCTTCTGGAGGGTGGTGAAATGTAGAATGTATCAGAAATGCCCTGTCATAACTGTAGTCCCTGTGGTGTGTGCTGCTCCCT